CCCCATCTTGTCCTCAGGAGCTGGGTCCCACACTCAGACTCCCCCCAGGGTTTGAAGTTGTATTCTTAGGGTGGGCTCTGCCTGCATAAATAGGAGCGTTCTTTCATCCTTTTCTCTAGTCATCAAGCTTTCTGCTCAAGACATATTGCACATTTTACAAATGCAAGGAGACAGCCCTAGTTAGATAGGAGTCTGACAGCTCTGCTCTGGCTGTGACCATTGACGGCTGGATTGGAGCTGAGGAATCAGTGGTTTCCCGCAGAAACGCACCAGAGGCACCAGAATGGAACAGCTGCTCCGTAACTTGGCAGGGGCTGAGGTTTTATAAATGAGATTTTTTTCAATTAACGACCTTGTTCAGTGTGGAATATTAACAGTTTTTATTTATTTGTTTGTTTGTTTTAATACAGTCCGACATGGCTGGCAGCGCAAAAGATTTGGAGACACTAAACTTTCTTCCTTGACTTCAAGATGACTATTGATTAGTGTATAAGCATAAGATAGTGAAAATAATAAAGGGCGTGATGGGAACCCAAGTCCTGGGGAGATTAATAAATCAATCATGAGGTGGAGGAGTGAGTGTGGCCAGGCTGCAGGTTTCCCCAGGGGGGCCCATTAGTTGGGCTCCTGCAGAAAGCGGGGAGAGGCAAACAGGCCTCTTGTAATTCTGTTCACTGTGATTCTTAGTTCTTAAATGCTCTCAGATGCATGTATAGGGGTATTTGCATTTTCTTAGCAAGCAAAGCATTGTCCCGAAATTGTGAACGGTGGCTGGGTTTGGCAAGATGGTGCAATCCAATCACCAGCTTTGCTGACACCCTTTGCACTGGTTCCCTATGGGGGCCTCGGTGTGGCACTGTGGCTCTCATCTGTCACCTCATGGGAGCCCTCCCGTTCCGGGGAGCTTGCTCAAGGGCAGCCAGGGGGAGCAGCCGGTGGGCTCCAGGCCTCTGTACCGCTGCAGTGGGAAAAGCGCCACTCTTACTTGCTGTGTCCACTAGAGAACCAGGGAAGATTTTGTTTGGGGGAAAAAAAAGGAGGCCCCTCTGCTTCAAAGAGAGAAACTTGACAATCAGTATCAGCAGTGCTATAGTGTCTACATCCATTTGCAAATTGTTTTTTGTTTTTTTTTCTGCTCAATGGCATTTAAAAAAAAAATGTAACCAGGTTAAAATATACGTGAATAACCTACAAATATGTGCCCACCTGACTGATGGTCACTCAGAGGGAGGGTTCCACTCTCACTATCTCAATTGAAAGGAGGGCATTTTTGATTCAGTGCACTCTAAGCTGGACGAGAAGGGATGGGGAGAGGGAGTGGGGGCAGGGATGGCTCATGACTTGGGAGGCAGTGGAGTGGAGGACCAGAAGCCACATGGATGGAACAGAGTCAGGAGTGTCTGTGAGCTGGAGGACCAAGGGTAGTAGTGAGTGGTCAGTGAGGAGGCCAGGAGTGGGACCAGCACACTGCGCAGCTGAGGGGGAAATGAGTCTGTCGCAAGCCTGAGACACCGAGGAGCTGGCTTAGGATCTGTGGATGCTGTGGTTTGTACCTGCAGCTGTTCTCCGCAGGCTTCTAGGCCTCGCTCTGGGCCCAGAGGCTGACCTTCGAGTACCAGATCGGTGTCCTTGTCCTCTGCCCAACAGCCACACAGCCTGGTCTGTGGAAGGGGAGAGAGGTGGGTGTTCATTCACTAGCTCCTCCCTGGGAGCCCACTGCAGCCAGGCTACGACCCCATACCCAAAGCTGCTGCTCTCTCCCCATAATTTATTTTCTTTCCTTGTGTGTGTGGTACATGGTCGAATCCACAGCCTTCCCACTCAGCTGCATCCCCAGGCCTTTTATTTTTTATTTTGAGATAAGGTCTTGCTAAGTCACTAATTTGCCCAAGCTGGGCTTGAACTTTTGATCCTCCTGCATTCACTCAGCCTTCCAGAGTGCTGGGATTACTGGTGTGTGCCACTCACCTGACTAACTCATCTTTCCACTTACAGCCAGTGTTCCTTGTTCAAAGCCCCTTGCCTTGGGGTCCTGCACTCTTGGTTTCATCTATACAAGGAATCATTTTATTGACCCTTTTTCATCCATTTAGCCTGTAAGATGGGCAATCCTTTTCTTTGCCTTCTATGTACAGGCCAGTGTGATGGACACTGAAGTCACTGGAAATGGTAACAGGAGGAGGGGCCTGGTGAGCACTAAAACACAGCTAAGGGCTGTGTCTTTATGTCCACATGAAATGCAATCATACCACGTTTTCATAGTTCATCTGTGATCTTCATTGAAACTGAAATTTCTGAATGATCTCTGTGTGTGTGTGTGAGAGTGTGAATTCTTAGTGTTGACAAAATATCTGGCATCCAAAAAGCATTTAAAAATTGAAATACATTGGAACAAATGGGAATAAATTAAATTACACTGAATTGAATAGAATTTTACTGAATAAATGAGATGCTAATTTGGCACATTTTAACCATCGTGGGTGTCCTCCTCCTCCTCTTCCTCCAGCATATGGTTTTGATTTTTTGTTGTGTTTGTTTTATTTGTTTGTTTTTTGGTATCAGGGATCAAACTCAGGTCCTTGCCCTTGGGAGGCAGGAACCGGAACCACTGAGCTACATCCCATCCCCAGCATATGGCTTTAAAAAGCTTCATGAACATCAACTAAGAAATTACACCAGGGGTTCAGTTTCTGGAATGAATAATGAACAATGAATAATAAATGTTTGCTTATACAGTATTTGCATCTCACATCAAAAAACATTGAGGTAATAAAGATTTTGTGATAAATTCAGATCGCCTTCAGCTTTCAGGACCCACTTTTTTAAAAAATTTGAATTTATTGGTACATTCTAGGTAGACAGTACAGTTACATTCATTACTGGGATCTTGTACCTCTACATGACAGGTCTTGGTTCTCATTTTTTCCCCTTGTCCCCACCCTCCCTTCACCCCCTCCTCCCCTCCCCCCTTCAAACACTTTAATTCCATTTTTACATTTTCTCATATTTTTTTCCTTTTCCTTTATTCCCCTTGCCCTATCCTTCTCACTGTAATTCCCCTTGCCCTATCCTTCTCACTGTCCCTACACCTTTGGTCCTTTTCTTCCTATTTCACATTGCTAATTGCAGGACCCACTTTCTTGATATTCGGGTTTTTTTCTCCTTACTGCAAAAGGATCACTTTATGTCTCCAAGGCAAAAAGCGACTTATGATACTTTCTGAACATGTAATTATCCATTTGAAAATAATTGTGACAGATATTCATCGCATTTCCTTGAATTATAATACTGAATAGCAGTGAAATAGAAAAATCTTCAAATCTGAGTCTTAATCGGAGCGGCCTGCATTGAGCCTCTGTAACAGTCTCAGGGAACCTTACTGGCAGTCCACAGTGATTGTTCTCCTCAAAGAACGGGTTGTGGAGATAAATAACCCATGGGAAATACAAGGTAAACAGGACTCAGTTTGCATCTGAGGGAGCGGGGATGTTTCTGTTCCTTTTTTCTTTTCTCCAGACTCAGAACACGTGATATTTTGACGGCGTCCCCTAGCTCTTGTAGTTTGTCCATACATGAAATTGCAGTTCACGGTGCCGCTTATTTGAAAACTACTTCAAGTCAGAGTTTAAGCTTGGACCTTTCACGCCACAGCAAGGGTAGTGACTAATTTAGGACTGCCAGACTCACTTAGTCGGTTCTTCCTAGCCAGCTATGAAGAAAAGTCACTTGGAAGCAAACGATATTGTTAGCATTTATGAGTAAGAATTCTGACAACACAGCCATTAAGGACATTGCCAGAGATCTTGATCTGGAGACCCCCCTACCTCAGAAAGTCTCAAGCCAGTAGCTCAGATTTTAACAAGCGACAGATGAGGTGACCGCCTAGAGTCAGAGTGTGCCGCTACCCTGATTACAGTTACTACGGAAATGCATTCCGTCGGCTTCAGAGGAGCAGGGGCTGCCGAGCGCAGACTGCAGTGCGCAGGCGTGGCGTGGACCGGCAGGGGTGGCTTCGTCTCCTGTGCTGGCTCGGTGGGCTGCTGTAGCTCCTTCGGGTTGAAGCAGATGCTCCTGGGGCTGTGCTGGCAGCGATTAGCAATGTCTGCGGCCGTAGGCGGGCGGTAAGGGGGTGGCGGCATTCAGGACGTGACAAAAATGCGGAACTAGAAGTCAAGAGTCCGGAGGCCGGAGCACTGCCCAACTCCTATTGGCTTTGCTGTTCAGTGTTCCAGCACTGTGGCAAATACCCGAGGTAAATCAAGTTAAAAAGAGAAAGGTTTGGTTTTGGCTCGAGATGTTGGACATCTCGGTCCGTGACGGGGTGGGCCTACTGCTCCTGGACTTGTGGTGAGGCAGTGCATCGTGACATGTCAGGATGGATCTAAATGTATTACTGACGGTATTTTTCAAGCTCCAAATACTGATAGGGAGATGAAGAGTAACCATCTCTTTGGAGGGATGCAGTTAATATTTTATTTGAAATGATTATTATTCTGTGTTCGTAGGATCATAGTTTCTTGTTAAAATACTTTTAAATGGGCTTTATTTCTAAGGAGCTCAGTTGTTTTCCACATCAACTCCCTCTGGCCAGTTACGGAGTCAGGGCCCCCAGCGACACGGGCAGATCAGCCCGGGGGATCCGCACTGCCATGGGTGAGGCTGCTGACCCCGCAGATCGGTCCCCTTCCTCTGCTCACCATTGGTGCTTTTTACTTCCTGGAATTTGCCCACCGCCATCCCATGACCATACACTGACTTACCCAGTGACAGGCCCCAGCTGTCGCGCAGAGCCAAGTGGATTCACTCCGCAGCTCCTCTCCAGCACCGGATGCCTTTAAACCCAGCTCTTCCTAGAATCCATCGCACAGTCCCCCAGCAGTCACTTCCTCTGCTGTGCTGGAAAGTTCCTTGGCCTGCTTCTTGTCACTGGAAGGACAGTTACTTTCCAGTCGCTGCTGCCAAGCACATAAACAACTTGTTTCTTCTTTCTGTGGTAACAGGCTCATGTCCTCGTCCTGGGGAGGAGCCCCTCTCGTGAGGAGGCGGCGGACTCTGCACACCTTGTCGCCTCTGCTGCTGTTGCTTCCAGGAGGCCGGAGCACCATGGTGAGCCTCGCTCCTGCCCCGCAGTGCGCGCCCTGGGTGGGTGAATGGGTGGATGGAGCTGTGCCTCTGCCCTCCAGGGAGCCGTCTCTGCTCTCTGGGACCTCACTGTACCATTTTCTGCTTTAGTATAGCTATTCTCCATCCAAACAGCTACTAAGAGCCCCTAGCGATCTGCACTGGGCTCGCAGGGAAATCTCTGCTTTCAAAGGTGACTATGTTTAAAGATTGTTGTGGAGCTACTGCCGCAACAGCTCTGACCTCCAGACTCTATCCGGACCCACTCACATGTCTTCAGGACACCAAAAGGAAGTTGCTGCTTAATGGCCCACATGATTTTTCTTGTTCCTGCCTATTAGGTAAAACCCCAAGCTTTGGGCATTCTCTACCCCACCACCCCAAGCCCAGAGTACATGATGTGTCTCTGCTGACAGGGACACACACTCTAGTGATTTTTGTTGTTGTTCAGAGCAGAATATCCAGGAATGGAATATAACCCACAAGCTCCTAGGGATATATTCCAAGAGAGCAGATAAAAATAATTATATACCGAGTAAAATAAGGTCCAGTGTGCCAGGAAGCATAAAATCAGCATGTGGAAGGATTGAGGCTGATTTGGAAATCAAGAGTTAAGCTAGGAGGCTAAGCTTGGAAGAAGGTGAAAGCGAGGCCTGGAGCAGCCTGATTAGAGCAGATCCGTGGGCCGGGGAGGGAGCTCCAGGCCATGAGGAGCTGATGCAGGGGTTCCCGCATTCATCCTCCTGTCCATTCCACTGTGCAGATGCCTTGTTCTAGTCTCTTAGAGTTCGGAGCACCTCTTCAAATCCGGAAGAACCTGAGGGGATGGAGGGAGGAGGCAGGTGACTTATCTGGTCCTGCTTCCCTGGAGCATTCCACATATGACAATCACATTCACTTTCAGAACCATCACAGAACCAGCATTTTGATCAGCTTGTTGGTGCCCAAAATTCCTTTAGTCAGGGAAATGTCCACTCCCCAGCATCCTTAATAAAACACCGAAAATGCAAATACCTGTTGATGGAAACCCCTGGAATAGCAGGAGGCACAGATCCAAATGGGCACAAGGCAGGTGGTTACTTACGAGAAAGCAGGAGCAGTACTTAGAAATGCACTGAGAAAAGGCAGCTAACAATAGGCTGTGGAATGAAAGAGACAATGTGGAGAGGTGAGGACTATGGCAAACTCGATAAGCCCATATCATGCTGTTCGCCCAGACCACTGCTCCATGTGGCAGACAGGCTTATGTTACCAGATCTGCTTTTTTTTTTTTTTTTTTTCAAGAGAAGGGAGAAATCTAGATTTTCATTGGAAATTTACAGTTTTTAATTGGGGGTAATTAACTCCAATATATTTAAAGTTCTGAGTCAGGAGTGTGAGGGCTGGATCCATCTCTTCTGACTTAGGCAGCCAAAATGGCAGTGACTTATTATCAGATATGTTCATGTTTTAGGGAGGAAGATAATGGACTAAGCCAACTGGAGGATTTTAGGCATTTGAATTGTTGGGATGTGTGAGGGGAAGATCTCTTCCGGGGAGAAATCCAAACACATAGGGAGGGCATGGACAAGAGACCATCTTTCTGTGTAGAGGGACTCTGGTTTCCAGCACCTCACCTAGTGCTCAGTGCAGCCACTCATTGACTAGGAATTGGATGAGGACCAATAGAAATTGTGCCCTAGGATGTTTATAACTGACTTCATTTCTGTGGACTCAGGCCACGCTGCTTTGAGTGATTAATCTAGTCAGGCACCATCCACTATAAACTACGTACATGCTTTTTAAGCTTTCCATTCTAAATATGGACCTGGTATTGCCACCCTGAAAAATTGGGAGTGGAAATAATACCTAGTTGATGCAAATAATGTCCCTGAGAATTAAATGGCCTCACAGTAACAATAACTAATGCTGACGCAAAATGTCCTGGCCTTGGTTTTAAGCCGTGCTCCTTCGTTGACTCAAATCCATAAACAATTCTGAGATAGGTATTCATTATCCCCAGCTTTAGATGGAGAAGTTGACACACTGAGAGATTAGGTAAATTTGCCATGGACCCAAGTAAATCAAAGGGGACAATTGAGAACTTCTCTTTGTCCAACAACTAAGGGGAGATCAGCCCCTCTCGGCTCTCAGCCACACCGTGAGTGGGAGAGACTCGGGCTCAGGCAGTCATCAGGAGGCTGCTCTGCACCGTGTTACCTTACCGGGACTGGCCCTCCATGTGCCCCCTCTCCTGAACACTTAGGCTCTGGGTTATGGTGTTTAGGGCAGATGAGGGTCCCAGGGAGAGCCCAGGCAGCCCAGAGTGGAGGGTTTGGAGAAGCACCGGTGAGGCCCCCAGCCCAGGAGCCTGAGTGGGCCTCAGCTTCACCCTCAGCCCCACGTCTCTGCTGCCAGTCAGGGCATTTGGGGACCTGAACCCAGAAGACCCACCGGGCAGTCAGAATTGAAATGTGTGAGGAATGTAAAGTTAAAAGTAGAAGGGTAAGCAGACACTGTCTCCCAGGAGCAGGAAGTTGGGACTGATGGCTTCACAGATGAGGAAGGGAGGTGGCTTCCGCTTGAGGAGAAGGAATCACTTGGCAGCTCAGGCAGCAGATGACTTAGGAAATCATAACAACAACAACAACAACAACAACAACAACAACAGTAGCAGAGTCGAGCACCTTTTGCATGCAGACACTAGTACTTTCTATAAAGGGCTCATTTTATCTTTTAAATGACCCTCAGAAGTGGGACACCTCCCAAAGCACCTCACATAGCCAGCTCTGCCTACCAGAAAGTTCCATCAGTCTAGAGGAACCCCTGTCTTCCTACTCACTGACCCACCCCGAAAAGACAAAGTCCAGATCAGTTTCCAGACCGCTCTTTTCGAGGCCATTCTCAAACTAAGTACCTCTTGACCAGAAAACACCTGAAATACCCGTCATCTTCATTCCACTAGAAAGGAAGTTTGCTGAAGCCTTTGGGGAGAGTGAAATGAGGAGCTTGGGTAGGAAGTAGCAGGACAGAAATACTAGTAGCTGATTGACTGGCAGCAGGCACAGAAAGGAGCACAGACTCTCACCCTCAAATGAATTACCAGATGGGGAAAATAATCAGAAGCAGAAAAAAGCAAGGAAAATCTTCACACTGTTCCTACCATGTGCATACCTAGCTGAGATCCCACTGCTGTCAGAATCCTGGATTCCTTAGCCTACAGAGCATAACACTAATTTTGTCATAAAGACACGTTCTTTAGAATATTTCTATTGATAAATTATTAATTTTAATGTTGTGAGTTTTATTATATTAAAAATGAGTATTCAACAGGAAAAATATCACAAAAATAAAGTATTGAATTTTTAACATTTATTGCATATTTATAAAAAAGCATCAAAATTTTCAACATGGACTGTTTTATGGTGCACAAAGTCTAAACAAAAAGAACACAAATTCTAATGAAAACACCAATACACTTTCAAATAAAAAATTTACTGCAATTATCACACCTAAAGCAGTCTGGCCACGTGACAAAAGCACGTTCCATATACACATCTGGCTTACACTGACAGCACATGTGCTCAGCTTTCCATACCTGTGTACTAGGCCATTCTTGTCACCTCTCTTCCTGTTTTGGCGGGAGCTTCCCGCCATATTGTACAACATGCACTTAGCCAGGAAATACAATATCAATTAAAAATACCAAAAATGTAAGGAGTGCTTAGAACAGACATTGACATTTTCACATCAGTTGTTTACTTGCTCACAAAACCTAAGAGATAACATCAGAAATAAAAAAATCTACATGAGCTGCCATGTAAACACAAACAAAAGTCTACCCCAGAAATAACCTTTGCTTCAACTGTCAGATCCAAGGCAGTCTTCACACATGCCAACTGCGTGTTCCATACACAAGTATCGCTTACACTGATAGCACCAATGTCTTGTTTTGCTGTCCTTTCTTGTAGGGCACAGTTGACATCCCTTTGGTTTTCCTGTTGTAGATTTTTGTGATGCTGTGACTCCTTGTTCACCTGTCAGCTCACCAGTGTGCTCCACAATTTTTTTGTGTGTAGTTTCCTAGGCAGAAACATTTTGTTTTTTTCCACTTCTGTAAGTGATTTCTTGTGAGTTCCAGTCCCAATCCTCTAAGAAATTTTCTCCATGATATTTTGCACTTGTTATATTCTTTATCAAATTATTTATGCCACACATATTTAAGATCGAATAAAACACAAAGATTGGGCATTGCTTTCCTTTTCGAGTGACATAATAATTGCTGCATAACTCATCAAAAACATCTATTCTACCTTTGGTTTTGTTGTAGAAAGTTTACATCTCAGGCTTCCGTTTTGTGCAGGTTTCCCTATCAATATTTCCATCATGGTGCAATGCTGACATCAGCAGTACCCATTTGTTTTTCTTTGCCGTAGATGAGGCTGGATGTAAATATTCCTGATATCCAAAGATTATGCTGTATAATTCTCTGTTTTGAAATTGCAGCATTTCATTTGGAATTTTTGCTTAGTTCCTAGGTATAGTTGCTACACTGGTCAACTTGTGCTCTGTCAGCAAATGTAACATCAACTGGACATTGGTAAACCAGTTGTTGAATGTCACATTCCTTTTAGTTTGGGAGATGGGAGCAACAAGTCTGTTTACAACATCATTCAGTTTATTACTATAGAAGCAAGGACCCAATGGCTGAGTTCTAGGATAAATGTCTAAATTGAAAAATATAATAAGTCTTTGCATCTACAAGGGCATAAATTTTTATGCCATATTTTTACCCACTACTTTTCCATAAGTCTTTTACATTCCTTCAGTTACCATGAGAAATCCCTGTTAAGAACAGCAAGATCTGTGAATGCTTTCAGTTCAGCTAGTGAGGTGTCATAATAAATACATTTTCATATGGCTATTGGTGCAAACAGAACATATTACTTGCATTTCAGCCTTTGAGTATTTCACAGCATCTTGTAGCATTTCATCCATTATACTTTCCAAAAATAAATATCAGTGTTGACATTCTGTCCTATATGTATCACCCCTGCCAAGACCCTCACTATATTTTCAGACCTAGTTCTAACATTGGATCATTCCATTTGGTTGCAAGACCATTTTGCACCACTTCAACTAGTCAAATATGTACTCACATGGTTATTTTCTCTGTCATCTGAATCAAGGAGGTCTGCAATCCCTGTGTCTGTATCAGTCGATTTTTGCTCCATTGTGCTGTCACCAGAATTTGGCTCACATGGCCAATGTGAAGTTGGAGTCTTCGTCATCATCATCATCATCACTCTTACGTTATGAAAACATCTTTTTTACCATGCTGGATCATTTTCATCATCCATACATGAGTAATCTGATGATTCACTTTTGACCTCCTCCAAAACTTTGAAATCTGGTTTTTCATATGCCGTTGTACTGAATTGGGATACTTCTACCAGAAAAAAAAGACAACATTTTTAAACAAGCCCTGGAGTGGTGTGGGTCTATTGGACCCTCTGTGATGCTTGGGTAAACATATGCAAAATCAGTTGGTCAGTGAATAACATGGGTTAAAATCCCATTTTGCCACTTTTGCACAAATGCACACCTTGCCATTTGTCTTGCCAAGTGGGCAAATGCATAGCTTGCTTCCTGTATCTCTCAGGGAAAGGTGCTGAGATGCACAGCTGGCTACTGTTACGCTAAAGTACAAATTTACAGTAGAAAAGTAAGGGATGGGCCCACTGGACCCAGTGTCATGCTCGGTAGGTTAGAGGCAAATGTGAGGAGTCTGGCTAATGAGCTGGCCAGGTCAGCATGTTGACATTCAGGTTTTGTCCCTGCTCTTGCCTGCAAGTGCCTATGTGTAGCGTGGGCAGAGCAGGTGTGGCCTGTGTAGCACAAGGACAATCAGCTTCCCTGGAAGGAGACAGACTCTACCCAGCCAGGGGCTGCAGCAACAGTCCTGGTGGCCCATTCCCCTCTCTTTCCTGCTATCTCTCTGCTGTCCCCTCAGGAATGAAACTTATCCAAGGCTCCAGGCCTCTGCTACCTCCAGCAGGGGGAAATTAAAGAGGACAATTTGGAGCTTACCTTTGTCTAACAATTAAGGGGTGACTAAATCCTCAATAGCTTTCATCCACACAGGACTGCCCGACCTGGATTTCAGTTGCTTGTAGGTCAGATGTCCAGGCCAGATCCCAATTTGCATGTTTTCCTAAGGGTCAAGGGAGGATTCTGAGCTCTGCTTTCCTGCCTTTAAATCTGTCTGCATAAAGAACAATGCTTCTGAGTTTTGTTTAAAAAAAAAAAAAAAAAAAAAAAAGAATCTGTGAGAGAAGGATTCCCCATGTTAGATTCACCAGAGCTGGCTGGCTTGCTTGCTTGCTGGATGCCCATTGAAGGCATTGCCACTAACAAAGGCAGCATTGCCAGCCAGGAAGTAAGTGTTTCAGGCTTCATGCTCAAGCCAATTTCTTTGCCTTCCTTGCATTCCTCGTGCTGAGGAAACTGCCCTAGAAGTCAAGGAGGATCGTGGCTGGATAAAGACGCCCAATTCAGGCTCCCTTTAATGTCACTAACCTGATCCTGGCCAGCTTCCCAGAGCAGCCATAGACAAACTTGGTATTAACAGATCTCCCAACCCGGCTAAGTGCTCAGGGCCTTGGCCTTGTGTTTATAACGCTTCTCCTAAAGGATGTTAAAATGAAATGGCCAGATGCCAGGTACATTGCAGGATAAGCCTTGGGGAGGCAGAGCCTGCTGAGTGCAGGTGGCCTTGTTTGGAAGTGGCCCCATCTGCGGCCAGGCATCATGGGCTGGGGAGTTCTGCTGGGTCCAATGACAGCAGACGGAACATACTCGGAGGGGGGACAGGGCCCCTCTCCAAGTGGATTCTCCACCTACAATTCCCTAAGACAGATGTATATGTCTTGCAGCCTCAACTGATCCGCTTCCCATATTTTCCACAGTAGACATGAAAAAGTTAAGTATCTGAAGCTGTATTTCCCTCTCCCCATTTTCTTTTACCTTACAAATTCCTTGCTTTTCTCAACTTCTGCCTCCTCTTCCGACATATCTGGGCCCCTTCTCATCCTTACCCCAGGTGCTCCTCTGGACCTGTGTGGGACTTGCAGGCCCTGCTATTCATGGGAGCGTGGATCCTGTGGGCTCCTGATAGAGGATGAGCACCCCGGGGGCAGCCGGTGTCCTTCACCTTCCTGTGGCCTTCTTAGCTGCCCCTGCTGCCTCACTCTGAGGACTTCACCCTAGGGTTGTGACACAGTCCTGCTGGGGAAAGACTGCCCCCCCCCGCCAGCTTCTTGGTGGTCAGCATCATATTTCTGTGCCTTTGCATCCTGTGAGCCTCCAAAGGCCTGCTGCCCTCTCGGTCCCCTCCCTTTCCTGATGTACACAGTACCCCACACCCCAGTCACTGACTTCTTTGTGTCACACAGCCAGTGGCAGCAGCTCTGCCACTCCCAGAAGCAGGTCACAGGCCAGGGACAGGCCCCTCCTGAAGAGGGTCTGCTGTGTGGTGAGAGTTAGAGCACTGGCTTCGTGTTGTCAGGCTTCCCCTGACCCTGCGGTAGTGAGAGGGTGGTCTCCGGCAGTGCCCCCCATAGAGTCTAAACAGTCTGTTTGCTGGGTGACCACTAGGCTACAATTCTCAAGACTTTTCATTTTCAAATTCCCTGGAGTTCTTTTGCAGTTGTAAAGATTATTTGCCAAGACTTACAAAGGTAACTGTCACTCTGTACAGGAGGACTCCTTCATAATGAATGCTGTCCTTGCTCTTCCAACTCTTGCCACAGGACAGCCTCAGGAAAATGAGCCCTGGTTGTTACTGGAATTTAATTAAAAGCCTGACCTCCAGCAAGCCACCTTGCAATCTTGCATACATTTTGCTCTTTGAATGAAGCCTTGTTTACTTTTGCTTGTGATGGAACGGCTCTAAGCACAGTCTGTCTGGCTTTGGGAAGGACATGGCTTTGAGTCTCCAGACAGAGGACCATAGTCCACCCTGGAGCCACACTCTTCCCCAACTCATAGACAAGCTAAGCATTCTGTTAGCATGAAAATGGGAAGAGATGTGGTCTTGGAATACCTCTGCCATGGGGCAGAGTCATGCTCCTGGGTTTTAGAAAGTGACTTCATCTTTGCCCGGGCTGCCAGCGTGAGATTACAGGGGATTCTAGAATTGCTTTTAGAGTTAGGTATGGCCGTGTGCAAGCGCACTGACACATGCTGGCTCTTTGTGAACCCACACCCAGTGTTAGGGCACAGGAACATGTCAGGAGGTGGCTTTTCACCCTAATGGCTGTGACTTCCTGTCGCTAGAAATCTTGGTGTCACTTGTCCCAGATGGACCTGGGATGCCCACTCCCAGAACAACAAAGTCTGCTTATCAAGAAATGGCTTCTTTGATATGAAGCTGGGACTCCGTGTGCTCTCCCCTCAAAGGCTGGCCGTTTGAGTGTGGTTCATAAAATTAACTTGGAGGGGTAGGAGTGATAAGTCAGGGTCTCACAACAGAAGAGGTTTTCTGTATCCCAGATAAAGATAAAAGTGGGTGGGGACTTTTGTGGCTGCCTGAGACCTACCTTTGTTCCGGTGCTTCAGGTTGTCTTAATGTACAGGGGTCCTCACATGAGTCTGCAGGTGCCTAATATGTGGTCACCTGCATGTCAGGGAGATCCTGTTCCCTGCCCTCATTGTGCCCCTTTGACTAGAGGACTTCCACGAACAGAAATGGAAATGGCATGGAATTTTGGAGAAGCTGGGGACCCAGGAAAGGAGGAAAGGAAGCAGGACCTGGGGAGCCTGGTTCTAGAGGGCAGATTGCCAGGCAGAGCCAGTCCCCACCTCCCCACCACAACGCCTCCGTGAGCTACCCGGCCTTCATGTCGTGAGACATTCCTTCCTTCCTCCCTCACTCCCACTCTCTCTTCTGGAGATTCCTATGCACTAGGGAGCGTCCTCTTTGGAAAATCCAGCTCGGTCTCTCTGAGTCTGAGGTGATGAGCCATCTGCACATTCGTTTGAATTAGGCCCAGCAGCTTCCTTTCAGGCCTGCTTTGGGGGCACTCGGTCAGCTCATGACAATGGGAATGTGGGAGGAATACGGGAGGTGGGAGAACATTGCAAAAAAAAAAAAGGGTAGAAAATTGTTCAATGCAGCTGTGTTTGCAGTGCAAGGGAGACCAGCTTCTGACCCAGGAGAGGGAGGAAAGAGAAAAGCCTCCAGGTTTTTGGGGTTCCGCCCTTCCCTATGCATGAACACCACTTCCTCCAACCCCAGGGTCTGAGCCTTGGTGCGTGTTTAGTCCCTGCTCCTTCCCAGGCCCTTCTTTATCTGCTGCCTTCACAGTAAGTGTTCAGGTCCACAGCCATGATGCTGGGGTGTGGAAAGTTCTTTACTCTTAAAGAAGGGCTGAGTTACCTTCTCTAGTTAATTCGCAATTGTCCAGAAAACCAACATATCGAGAGTACTCACTCCTGAATATCTGCAGTCACTTTAGACATGGAATGCCCCTCTCTGTAATGCTTTTAGAATCAGCAAAATAAAGCCACGTCCTCAACATCCACTGTCACCAGTTTACCAAAGTAACCAAAGGTTAGACTTAGTTCAAGCATTAAAACCTATAATGCTTTTGCCAATGAGTCAGCTGTGGGTAAAAGAGAGGGAGCATTTTCCACGGGGCAGGATTGGAGTAGTCCTTGAAGAATTCTGCAGAAATCCACCTGCCAGGCAGGGGAATCCAGTTCAGTTGGCTTCTGTCCAGCTGCAGACATGGGGGCGGAGCCCTCCCTGGGAGAAAATTCCTTGTAGCAGCCGGATTCCTGCTTCTGTCTGGGACCCCACGGGTCTGAACCTTACAGGAGAACACAGATGGAAGTTTTATTTTGGTTAAGTAGATTTGGTAAACAGGCTTCCCACATGTTCACTTCTCTCCTATCTCCCGCAGATCCTATGGAAAGTCCTGGGATCGTTTCTCAATTGGGACTCTCCTGTGCATTTCAGGCGTGGTCACAAGAATCTTGAGGTGTGCATGGCTGCTTTTCTGCAAGTGTTCCCAGACTTCTGTGCCATTTGATCCTTCTGTCTGGTTTCATTCTGTGTCTGTCCCCTCAGAGTCTCTGCTGTCAGAGCACCTCCTTTCAGCCCAGTATGGAAAGGAGGAGCCCATAGCCACAGTTAAGAAAACTGACACAGTCAGTAAGTGTTAACTTTTAATTTTAAGGACAGTTTTCATAATTTTAGTGTCCCAATCATTTATGAATATTCTCTCTCTATCTGTGGTATCTCGGTGGACAGCCTGGAGGCTCTACCTCAGTCTAGTGCAATTGATCTTCTCTCTGTTTTAGGGGCTCTTGGCTGTCTTGGTCTGTTCAAGCTACTATTTTTCAATGTCATTGATTAGGTGACTTATTTAAGAAATTTACTTTTCAGATCAGGAGGCTGGGATACCTAGGATCAGGTTGCCGACTTGGACTGGCTGCTTGCTGGGGCGTACAGAGCTGTCCTTTCCTGGGGCAGAGGGGAACAAAGGAGCTCACTGGGGTCCTTTTCATAAGAGTACTAATCCTATTAGTGATGGCTCCCCTTTATAACTTAATCCCCTCTGAAAGACTCTCCTCCTAATACTATCACCTTGAAGGTGAGGATTTCAGCATGTGAATCGGAGGAGGACATGACATTCAGATCAAAGCACTAACTATATTACTTTTCTTTTGCTGCGTGCAAATGTTCAGTTGTTTAAACATACAGTTCTGGAGGTCAGAAGAAGTCTGGTGCAGTAAGGCTGGCTTCTTTGCTCTGGCAAAAACCAAGTTGTTGGCCAGCTTCATTGTCATGTGCACCTTGGGGTCCTTTCGAAGCTCATTGCCCTAATTGGAAGATTTCAGTTCCTCGCAGGACTGAAGCCCTCTCAGATCATGTTGGCTCTTCCGGGTCCTTACAGCATCATGGCCTGCTGCATCTCCATAGTGCAGGACCTCCTTTTCACAACTCGCTGAGGCTTCCAACTTCCTGGACTTCCTTGCCTGCCACCACCTGCAGAAGGTTCTGCTTTTAAAGGGTCCACGTGACTGAATCAGGCCCAAGGGATAATCTCTCTCTCTCTCCTTAAGTCAACAGTGTTCTATGACAGTCTCAGCTCCTGAGTTCTTCTCGCCATACTCATGAATTCCACCCATAACCAAAGGGGATGGAATTATACAAGGCAAGAGTCGCTGGCATCTTGGCAGAATTCTGTTGGCCATGCTGGCTTTTTGCAGGGAGCACCATTCAGTTTCCTCCCAAAGCTGGCCTTAGGTTTCATCTGTCCTGCTCAAACTAGGAAAACCCACATACTTAGAGAAATTACCATTTTTCTAATATATTCATAGAGCATTCAGCTTCTGCTGTTCCTCTGTTCTAGCTTGGCTGAGTGTCCCCCAGAGGCCCATGTGTTAAAGACTTGAATTGCAGCCCTGGTACACTGGGAGGTAGTAGGAGCTTTGGGAGGGGCGACTGGTGGGTGAGGCTGGCCTGGGACTATGCTCTTGAAAGGGATATTGGGGTCCTGGCCCTGCCTGTCTCTAGCTTCCTGTTTGCCATGAGGTGAGCAGCTTTTCTCCCTCCCTTCATCAAGTGTGCTTCACCATAGGCCCAAATGCAATAGGATCCATTGGTTATGCCCTGAATGTTACAAAACTGTGAGCCAAAATATGTATTTCCTGTTTAAAAATCGATTCACCTCAGGTATTTGTTACATCAAAAGAAAGCTGACTAACATGCATTGGTTGCTCTGGCTTTCCACTCCCTCTTTGTGACTACACTTTTCCTTTGCTTACTCTCATGATGGCTATGCATTTAAAAAGATTTTCATCACATCATAGCCAGTATGTTTACAGGAGGTTTAGATTGTTTGAGCTTCTTTCCTCAGCAGCATGTCAACCCTGTTTTCCAGATTTTTCATGTTATAGAAATATATAACAAGATTACAGTCAGAGTTCACTAAAGTAAATGGCCCGAGGAGTCCTAATGTCAGTAAGGAGTGACCAGAGTTATTGGATGAATAAAGGATCGATTGTCGTAAAAACCTACCAGTGTGATCAGGTCCGGGGGGGGGGTAGTTTCTCCTTTTACTTTAGCTTTGCTTTCTGTATCATCAGGAAGCTAAATGTATGAAAATTAAGGAAAACAAATTGTTTATATTCTTCTGAGACCTAACTCTTTCATGATAAAAGAGACAGGTTAACAGGCAAAAGACAGTCTCCTTGACTGGTTTCCCTTGTCCAAATACTTATTATTTTCAAATAATTCATTGCCACTAAAAGCATAGTTACTCCAGCCCCATTTCAAATCTGTGAGTAGTTTTCAACTGTTGCTATGATGCTTTTCTTCAGATGTGGCTGAGAAGTATTTTCAAGAGAGTATGGCTCATTTAAAGGATTCTGAAGGAGCAGGAAACATCAAATTTCTTGCAGTTCAGGATGAATTTTGCCATTTCCTACAAATCACTGGACAAAAAGAGGTGAGTGAATTCTGAATACAATAGTGTAGTTATTCACAGGGGTGATAGTTGATGTTCAAAAGGCCATTCCTTCACTCTGTGAGCATCTGTTAAGCCCCTACTATGTGTAGGGCATGTTCCAGCCTCCGAGGGATTCTGGTAAATAAGGCTGGGAGGCCACTCTTGGGCTTGGTCCTAGAAACTGGAAAAGTGTTTATGAGAATGTAGATGATGTGTCCACCTAAAAAGACCGTAAAAGAACTAGAAACCTTGAGAACCCGGTGGACCAAACCCTGCTTACCACAACCTGTAGCTCTGGCAGCAACAGAATGTGGCCATACATCTAATTCTTCTCCCCTCTTTGTGAGTAATGAATGAATTTGCATATCTACTGGAACTACACAGCACAGAAATTTCAGCTCACTCTCTCACCATACAGGCTTTACACGGCTTATAAAACAGGAACAAGACCCAGAGTTTATATCCATTGGTAATTAAACCCATGGGAACTTATTCTCTGCAAAGCCTCACAGCTTCCAGAAAGCCATTGAATAGCTCAATTGTTTTGTTTTGCCCAGCCCTTTATGGCAAATCTTGGAAGTCAAAATTTATTTCCCCCTTGTGGTCTATAGACCTCTGTCCCCATAGATCTTTCCTCATCCATAATCTGTCCCAGTCCTCTCTCAATTAAGAAATATGGGCTTCTAAAGTGGATGCACCTATATTTCTCAGGCCGAAGTAGGGCTACTATCACCATAACAGATGGAGCTTCAATATTTTTCTGGATCACACAACCGAAGAGAGAGGGTCCTTCCATGGGCCTCTGATTTCCACCCCAACCCCATCTCTAGAAGTCCTTTGGGGAGTGCAGGTCGGAAGAATGGGGAGATGTTTGCACCCTCATGCCTCACCCCTCCTAGTTCCTCGGTCATTTCCAAACAAAGTATACCTTGACTCCATCCATCATTTTCCATCTCCCCTCCCACCAGCCGCCATCTTTTGCCTGGACTGCTCTAGCAAGCTCCTGACTCCCAGCTGCCTTCTTCCATGTTGCCCTTTTCTAATTTATTCAGAATAAGGAAGTGCTGTCCTTTTCAAAAAGCGAATGTGATGAGTGCACATTCCTTTGTAAACTGCCCCAGTGGCCCTTCAGTGCCTCTGAGATAAATTAGGATCCCTAGATGGCCCCAAACACTTGCCCCATCTGGATTCTCATCTCATTTTGCCTCCTCTACTGGATCCATGTTCCTGGCCTTTACTGATTCCCACTTCCGGCCAGGGTCTACTCTCACTTCCTCCTGGAAAGGCCTTCCCCACTCCTTCCAGGATGATGCCAGTCCATCCAGGTGTGGCAGCATCCTACACATGGGCATAAAGCTGACACTTCTCCAAAAAGTGAAAATGTATAGCAGTTACCTAATTTTCCTTAAGAGGCACAGGTCTTTGTTCAGCCTTTGAACTTTGTTTTTTTTCATTTTTTTGAGGAGAGTCTCCCTGTGTAGTTCACGCTGGCCTTGAACTCACTATGTATCCCAGGCTGGCCTGGCACTCATAGTGATCTTCCTGCCTCAGCCTCCCAAGTGCTGGGGTTACAGGTGTGTTCCATCACTCCCATCGGACTTCTTAACCAGAGAGCTTTTTGTCTCTTTCATAGAGAGCAAACTTGATCCTGAAGGAATCCCTGGAGGCCAAAGTGGAAGCATTTGGCTATTTCAGTCCTGAGGTGGTTGAGACTTACAAGCTCCTGGGTGGAGCAGACCTGGCGCAGGGGAACCACAGCGGGGCCCACAAGAACCTGAAGAAGGTAAAGTGGGAGCCAATACTAACCCAAGACGAGGCTGTCCCTCCACCGTGCTTCTTTTATATGAAACTTTATAAGTGGATTATTTAGTTAAGACGTCATCACATTTGCACAATAGCTCTAAGCTAACATCTTGGGGATAAAGCATTTCCTCTGGAAACATAACTTTTAAAAAAATAATGATCAATTATTTTTGACCATGCAAACATTTTAAATTTTTATATTACATAATTAATTATCAAGACTTTATTTTTACTGTGCTCTTTCTGTTTATCAAATGAATAGAGGAATTCTTTTTTCCCAAAAAATCTGAAGTTTATTTGTGTAGCTAGTATGAGGTGTGGATCTAATGTTATCTTATTGTCCAAATAGATCTCTCCACAGTCTGGCACCCCTTTGTTAAAGATCCCATCTCTTGCCGGGGATTTAGCTCAGTGGTTCAGTGGCCTGCCTTGCAAGCACAAGGACCCGAGTTCAATTCCCAGTACCAAAAAAAAAAAAAAAAAAAAA